ACGAGGGATTTTCCAAGAAGGATGAGAGATGCAGAATATAAAGTTTTCTATTGGTTTCTGAACAATTTTTGATAGAAGCAAGATAGAGAGCTGCAGTTCTAACCTCTTTATAGAGACTATCTACACAGATGAATACGTGATACAACCTAGTTGCACAGAAATACTTAGAACAATCCAAAAATAGTGGCTAGGGTACTTTATTTTCTTACAGAAAGTTTGAAAAAATTTTCTTTCTCTATGATGTGATACAGAAAATGACGCTCTATTTTTCTATGCTATTCGATCACTATTCAGCTAGTATTATACTAATAAAATTTCGATAGGAAGTATTTCTGTAGAAAACTTATTGATAGCGTTAGATCATAATGGGTGTGACATCAATAAAATGGGATACTTTTGTATTTCATTTTGTCATCACTTAGTACGTCGTATTAAAAAAACAAAATATACCACAATATGCAGCGTAAAAAGCTCCACAATTTACAAGGAACAATTATAAAAAGATCAGATAGAAAAAAATCAAATTCGTCTTTTACCAAAAATATTTCATTTTTCGCAACGTGAAAATTGGTTCGTCCAGACTTCTACTCATTTCGAAAGCCAAATATGCAGCTATAAAATAAGCAATCCTTTATCAAGTGTAGAGCTTTTCACGCTGCATCTTGTGGTATATTTAGTTTTTTCTAAATACAACGTGCTAAGTGATAATAATATGAAATGCAAAAGTACACCATTTTTCTAATGCCACACCCATTATGATCTAATGCTATCAATTAGTTTTCAACAGCAATACTTCTTATCGAAATTTTATTATTATGATATTAGCTGAAGAGTGATCGAGTAGCATAGAAAAATAGAGCGTCAGTTTCTCTATCATGCCATAGAAAAAGAAAATATTTTTAAACTTTCTATAAGAAATAAATTACCTCCGTCACTACTTTTGGGTTACTCTAAGTAGATATAAGTATTTTTACTTCGCAAAATTTTTTTTTATTGAGCAATCACAAATTAACTTAGAGTTCAATATTTTCACTTAACAGTCAATTTATCTACTGATCAGATACAAATTTTACTTGACAAAAGTCAACTTAGCATTTTAATAATTTTACTTAGCAAATAAATTGTCACCAAAAATCCTCAAAAATATTAGTATAAGGTATTGTTTACAAAGTATTCCAATAGGAAAAGGATATGATATTCTTTTATTCAAAAGAATCTAGTCAACGGAACGATTGCCTGTCGATGTTTTCGAACAGACATAAATGAAATTGTTTTGATCATTTCTGCTGACTTCAAAGTAGATGCATTAGAAGAAAAAAAGAAAGGGGTCTTGTATATTCTATTCCGACTCAAATGAACCTGCTAACATCCGAATTCAGCATTTACCCATAGTTTTAGCTACTCAACAGTGTACTCCAACCACATGCATGAATAATGGTCAGTGTTTCCCAAATGGAAATTCATATTATTGCTATTGCGGTAACCGATATACTGGCACAAACTGCGAAATACCCATTAATGGATAATACTTACATTACCGCGAATTAAAATGATGAAACATTTGATTTTTTCATTAAGCATTGTCATCTTTTTGATCCTTAAAAAAATCTATATGAATACAAAATCTGCTATGCTTTTCCAATAATAAAACATCTAGATCTATCTATCGACAAAAGGACGAGGGTGTAGGTGTGGGTAACGATAATTTCAAAGAATTTCCAAACAAATTTAAATTTTTACTGTTACCGAAGTAATGAAAAATTTATTTAAAGGGTTAGAGGGGGTGGGGGTGTAGGTGTGATTAGAGATAAGGCTAGCACCCACACCCACACCCACACCCGCCATCAGCCTCCTTTCGTACTTTATTTCTTAGTTGCTCGATTATCTCAGATAAGACGAAGGCATAATCAATGAAAGAAGTATTGTACAAATGATGCACAGGTTTCAATCAATGTGAACATTGTTCGACTATCGTTTGCTGATTCGAGCTCGTAGACCGTACTTAGGTCTCATGGTAATACGAACATCGGGTGTCACAACTTGACCTGGCTCTAATTCGAAACAACATCGTTTCAGTAACATCGCTAATATGACTTTGGCTTCGAGCAATGCAAAATTCTGTCCGATACAGTTGCGTGGTCCGGCAGCAAATGGTAAATAGCAGAAAGGGTGAGCTAGTTTCGGTTTGTGATCTGTGACAGGATTACGTAACCATCGCGTGTAATCGAATTCAAGTGGTCGAGGCCAAAATTCTGCTCGTCGATGGAGAATATAAGTGTTTATGACTATGATCGTGTTTGCTGGGATAAACAATGGACGATGACTTCCACTACCGATAGTATGTTCACGTATACAATATCGCGCAAAAAGAGGTGCCGGAGGATAGAGACGAAGAGTCTCTTGCAAGACAGCTTCGCATACAGTTAAACTATTAATGTGTTCATAGGTGAGATCAATGTCGTCGGGAAAAACACGATCGACTTCGTTAAGACACGCGCGCTGCACTTGCTCGTTCGTCATCAACACGTACATAGCCCAAACAAGAAGATTTCCGGTTGTTTCATGACCAGCCAACACAAAAGCTAAAGCTTCATCCTTGATCTCTTCGTCGACGAACGGTCGTCCGTGTGCATCTACCGCTGAAAGAAGTAGATCAAGAATATCAGATCCTGAGCATAAACTTTTTGAACGACCCTGCCGTCGATCGGCAATAATCTGTTCGACAAACCGATTGATTTCTCGAGTACCTTTGTTGACAATGTGCTTACGCCAGAAAGGCATTGCCGCTAGAATAGGAATTACATTGATCATCCGTGTTGTCCGATATTCAATTGCTTCGAGCACCGTGGTGAAGAACTGAGACACAATGTTTTTGGCATTGTTGATACTTTCAAAGCCTTTTCCAAATGCACATGAAGAAATGATTGCGAGTGTAAGAGCACTGAATTCTATCTGTAAATCAACAGATCGATGGCTACTTGTGACAAACAATTCGTCAATCATCTTTCTCGTTTGATCAATCATGATAGAGACCATCGATTGAAGATTGACAAAGTGAAATGCTGGATTGAGCATTTTCCGAGCCCGTTCATGTTCTTCTCCTTCACTCACAAGAAGATTATGTATACCAATTAGAGGTTTGAAGACAATTGCATTCAGAGGTGCCTTAGTATAGTCGTGGGCGTGTGATCGACCAAGAACATCGGCAAGTAGATCTGGATCGTGGACGAAGAGGCGCGTCCAAGGACCAAAGCCCATAAGAAAGACATGTCCATGTTTTTCAGCAAGCGCCTGATAATAAGCCATATACTGATCATTGGCTCGAGCTCGATTCATTTCACGTAATTGGCCAATGATGGGCACAAATGGTTCACCTGACACACCTTGACGACGAAATACATCGTAGCAATGCTTTGCTGGCCGAATTAATTTCCAGTACACAATGAAAACAAGCGTTAGAGAAATACTCACAAATGCACATAAAAATAGAAATAGTATCATTTTGTCGTGCTTCTACACTTTAAGAGTAATCAACTGATAAAATCACATGATATCTTGGCCGTTGAAACAAAGAAAGAAAAAAGTTGCATTTTACACCGACTTTTTCGTTCTATTTTCTTCTGCGAGGCCGCTTTGAGAGAGGAACGAAAAAAAACATACATTGGCTTCTATTGGCACACCTATGTCGATGAGTGTGTGTCATACGAGCAGTTGATTGTTTCTTCATAATATCAGAGGCATACAAATAACTGCGTACGAACCAAAAGTAATGGAAAAAAGGTGTGGGTGGGCGTGTCTTCTCTCAGTCCACGCACACCCACACCCACACCCACACCCACACCCACACCCACACATCCATAAAAGTCATGTTGTTATGTATACTTTATTTTCTCTTTTGTTTTTGTTTTCCATCTGGTATTTGTCTTGTTTTTGGTTGAAAATGACCGTTCGAAGGTCAAAACTTTCCATATATATTATGAAATAAATCCTTTATAAAATTAAAATACATATATTGCTATATTGCAATCATATGATATTGAATGAATTTTTTTTCGCATTCGAAATCAAATGACAAAATGATATTTTGCATTTATTTTTGTCAATAAATTTGTTTCTGCGTTATCTAACCTAGTTTTGCAGATTTCCCAAAAGTTCTGATGGATATATCAATAACTAATAGTACTCATCTTAAATATAAAATCTCAAGAAAATCCATCCATTGGCCGAGTCATGGGCCTGAAAGAGTTAATTTAATTTCATTTAATAAAAGAGCAGATATATTGTTTTGTGTCACTCACTAAGAACTAGATAATTGAGAAACTTGACTTATACTGAAGAACAAATTTAAACTGAAGCGGAGAGAATTTTTAAGGACGCTGGGCACTGTCCTCCCACTCACGATTTCCCGGATACGCCACTAACATTCACACACCTATTTTCATGGAAGAAACAGCTAATTAAGTGTCATTGTAATCACATGAAGCTAACGTAAACTACCGAAGTCAATCAAAGCTAGTGAATTCGATTCGGCATAAACTTTTTGCGATCAAGAATTTCGTTAGTCGAGGATGAGAGTGCGGATATATTAACATAGAGAAAACTCATCATCTGCTTGAGCATGGACGCGGAAAACATCGTGGAAGGTAATACTCGACTAATGGGGTCAGAGTAAGACACTTTTCACTAGATTTTTTAGTTTGAGAAATATTATCAAGATAAATCTGATTTACCATTGATTCTTTTTCTGTAGCTTACTAAATCTTATTGTTTTAAATAATTTAATGAATTTTTTAGTCCCTGAAATGCAATGACATGATTCGACAATAGTTTGTATTGTTGTCGATTGAATACAGAAAAAAATATTATCAATAATTAACTTCTAGATTCTAAATTTCGACAAAATATTTATTTAAGTTTATGAATAAAAAAATGAATGGATTAGAAAATAAAAGTCAGTTTTATTTTCAACGTTAATTGAACCAAACTTCAAGTTGATTATTTTAATCATATTCAAAATGATCTATTGATATATCATTCTGAAATTCTTTTTTCCAATATCGATAAAGATTTTGACAAGATTGTTTTATTTGATATTTATCAATTGATGGCCATGGATAATGATCAATAAGATAACCAACAAGACAATTACAATCATTAGCATATTTTAAAGGTTCTTGCATATGACAATGCCATATAATATCGATCTAAATATAAAAATCTTATTATAATATAATTCATTTTAAAATAATTACTGCATATGTTGGATGAATGAGATCATATTGCTGAGTTGGTGGATATTTTGCTGTTATATATAAAAATCTTTCATAAGATTTTTTTAATCGTTTCATTGCTGATGAGTTTAAATCGATTGGTTTTAATGGATTAAAACTCCAAAAATCCATGTACATCTGCAAACAGATATGATTCATAAAAGATTTGCATGAATTTATCCAATTAGCATCAAGAATAATATCAGCTTCTGTAAATGAAAATGGATTTTCATAATCATTGAGAGGATATGATCGAAATTGAAAATATGTTCCATCCCAATAAGAATAGCTTAGAATTAAATGTTGAAATCTTTCAATATAAGGATGAAGATATTTAGATGAAGATATTTTTTCATTTTGATATAATGGTAATGAACAATATGGTTCATGAAAATGTTTTTCATATAAATGTAAAGTATCTAAAAAAGCTTGTTCTTTAAAAGATTGTTGAGTATGATTTAATAATAATGAATGATCAATAATTTGATGAAATAATCGAAGACAATCATTTTGATATATTAAAGGTCTTAAAAGATGTGTTTGCCAAACTATTTCAATATCTATAGTTGGAATAAGAAATTTTTTAGGATATAAAACTTTTAATTGCATAAATCGATAATATCGTCTAATCATTTGTCGTAATATCACTGATTTACGCCATTTTTTCTGAAAATTTGAAGCTTTTTCTAATAATGATATTAATACATGAGCAGTTTTGTCAATATCAACTGATAATTGAATAGTCCTGTAGAAGATAATGAAAAATTTGAATGAATCAAACTTTGACTTACATATTTAATGATGAATTTGGATGTTCATTAAATCCAAAAATAGGGAAAAATGATTCATTACTTTTTGATCCAACAAGATACCGAGAAGGTGAATATTTCAATCCACAACATATATTCATTGTTCGATATTTTCTCTCAAGTCTTTTTAATTCTTGATTTCGAAGATATTTTTCAAAAATCCAATCAATATAAATTTGTTTATATGATTTTGAATTTAATTTGGTTGATACTATTTTTACATTTACATGAATTCAAAATAAAGAAGATAAATCTGACTTACTATTGCATCTTGTTTTCCATATAGTATCTTGATCAACAATTATTTTAAAATATCGACAAACTAATGAAACATTTTCTAAATCACGAACTGACAGTAATCCAAATATTTTGAGCATGATTTCAGTAGGCATATTAATAAATGCGGAATTTACTAATGCATTTTGTGTTTTATCGACTGTCCAGAGACATTTCCAGGTTATTTTTCGAGGAAAATCTTGTATTTGATTTTCAATAAAATCAATGTTTTCCGATTCATCTTCTTCATTATTCGAATTTTTATTTAATTTATCAGCTAAAATAGTTATTCGTGTACTTTCTTATTCTATACCAAACATGTAGAATATTGAGATACAATTTTATAGTGAACTACAGTTTATCAATGGTGTTCATTTAATCCCAGGACGCGTAATAAAAAAAAACATTTTTCAGGCAAAAGACTTTTTTTTTGTCAAATGTTTGAACACTATCGAAATACTTTTCTTATCATATTTTTCTGCAAGTTACCAATGAGAAAAATATAAATACAAAATCATAATTATGACTGTAATTTTTCCAATGAATGTTCTGCAGTGAAAAATTATCGTTTCACACAGAGATCGAGGATGGTTGTAGGCTAGAATAACATACAGTTCGTTGGTTTTTCATTCAAAAGATAATCTGACAGTTGAGATGATTACCTACTTGATTTATTAAGTTTTGTACAAGCACACACAAAGAACAGAAGAGAAATATGTCTGTTTGTATAGATTGTCAGTGAAATATTGCTTCTCAATCGTACAACTCATCTTTTTAAGACTGATATTAGTATAGCTAGGGGGCTTACTCTGTTTGAAATTGGTTTGTTCACATGAACATAGAAGAGATAGAATACTTTTCATCCTTTTGTATTTCTGCACAACTTGTATGAATGATCGTCATTTGATCGTGTATCACACAGATTATTACAGAAAAAATGCGTAAAAGAAAGAAAAACATGTAATCAGTAGTGTTTTTTTGTCTGCTTTTCTTCCTTATTATTAGACATTCAATTAGCATTGTTTTTGTTTGTTTTTTCTCGATTTTGTTGTCCTATCTTTCATCTATCGTTATGTACAAAATAAATGACATAATAGCCATTGATCAGACCTTTGTAGAGGACGGAACGATCGTATTTTATAAGTTATAAATATGATCGAGAATTTTGATTGTTAATATATAGAAATAGAAACTGCAATTTGATCCATGCTCAGGGTCCTAAGTTCATTTGATTTTTCATAGTTAAGCAACAATATATTGTCCCTGTTTCATCAAATGCTTCGCTTTCTAATGATTCATCCTAGTCCATTGTCGAATATTATATCAAACAATCATGACAGTTGAATCGATAAGTATATTAGATGTTTGTAATTTTAGAAAAAAGAATATTGATCGAACAATTGTGAAAGTGTTCCAATGGATGGAAATGACTTACAATCGATACATTGTTTGCTATATCTTCAACTTTGTCTTCTGTACTCTCTCTCCTTATTAATATTTTCCAAATAAGATTATTCGGTTTTTTGAGAAGAAACAGAAAAGGAAAGCATTTATATTCAATAGGTTCCTTTTTTTATAGTAGAACTCACTAACATACATACAGTAACATAGTTATACAAATTGGTATTTACTAGCATATTTGATAGCAATGGAAACTATAAGAAACCAATTTCGTTTAGATGATTAAGTTTCATAATAAAATTAAAAAACTTTGTACATACCTTAATGAGAGATTTTTATCAAACTTTTCAAGAAAAAATACCAAGGGGTGAAACTAAGTGGATTGATTATTATTTCTTTTAGATATATTTAGACAATGCTAATATGATATGTATTGTTCAACAACATGAAAAGCCGCATAACAGTGATAAAGACACGAATATTTTCATGTTTCTCTTTTTGATTAACATCAGTTTTGTTTGTTCTGTAAACCAATCAAAGTTTATTATTAGACGTCGATTTTCAATCGTATGTTGAGAGTTTCTTGGCAAAAGAGGTTTCATGACATTCATTTTTGTAAAAGCTTCGTAGTATAAAGTATATAAAGACACTGGTGCATGCAACAGAAGTTAAACGACAAGAAGAATATACCGTTGTCACCCATTTGGTTGCTTACATGTTGAACAAAAATTAAGAATACGACAGCATAATGCAAAAGTGTACTCATTCGATTGTAATCAACCACAACAGATTGATGAATCGAACTCGAATAAAATATTTCATGAGCATACATTATTAATAGTAGTCGATCGACAGGAATCCAGTTCGTGAACCCATAAGTTGATCGTGCAAATACTGATAAAAGATAATTCATTATTTTGCATGATGTGTCATTTGTCCATCCCAATGCCAATCCCAAGAATATATGAATTTAATGAGAAGATAGAGTAAAACACATTGATTGAGAATGGTCACAGCAAAGAGACAGTTATCGACATTAGTTTGCCGCCGCCGAGGACGTATAAAAGTAACTAATGAACAAAGGTTACTAGAAAGACCTATAGTGAAAAGTACGAATGCCACACTAATGTAAATAGCCTGGGCATGATGTTTATCAAACACAAGTAAAGAATCAAGTGTTACGGTTAATAGTTTCAAATTTTGTGATCGCTTCTGATATAACATCCACCAGAGTGACAAAGGTCATAGAACATCTATGAACACATTATGACTAAAGCAATCAGCTTATTTTCGAGGGGAGTATAAGCGTGTACATGGGTTTAAGAATTCTCTGATAAGTTAGAGTAGATTTCGTATTGCATTATTATCTCTCAGAAATTCAATCTTTTATGTAGAAGTGATCAATATTTAGATCACAAATGACTTAAGATTGCTAATCGGCGATTTCAGCCAAAACGAGAAAATTGTTGCTCTGCGAGTTTTACAAAACATTCAGCTCTCTCTTGTATTGCACTTTGCTTGTGTTATCATTCAATAATGATTTCCCTATTTGATTCCGATCTCTTACAAAATAATAGAAACGGTGACTGACATAAAAAAAAGAAGCTAAAATAGAGGGTGTGAATGTCAGCAGATCTTCTGTTTCTTCCCCCACCCACACCCACACCCTGATAGAAAAACTATTAAACTGATATTCTTTATTTAGAACAAATAATACAAAAAATACGTTTAACAGAATGCTCATTACAAACAAACGCAGAACAATTACAACATTGAGTTAAAGGGTGTGGGTGTCAGCGAGTCTTCTGTTTCTTCTCTCATCCACACCCACACACTCTATCTCTATCTTTCTTCTTTGACAAAGTACTTTTGTTAAAGAATTATCTACGATTTAAATAAAATAGATGAAATTCATATATCTAACCGACATGTTTGATAGAACAGCTGAAAATCTATGTGTTTGTCTCTAGGTAATTTTTTTATGTAGTTGGCTAAAAAGTATATTTTCTTATATTTATACCTCAATAGTAGCTGAGATAATATATTTTTTACAGTACAAAAGTAAGAATTATTCTCTACACTGACACCGACGAACGCAATATAAAAATTACATTTGATTTTCATTGAAATTACAGTTATCAACCATAGATACAGACTAATTACAATTTTCTCCAAAAACTACACAAATTGCAAAAAAATTAGCTTCACAATACTATTTCAACTAATTAGTAGTTTTATATCATCTCATAATTAATTGCTTTCGATAAATGCTATATATTAGGGTGCCTGGATACTAGAATTTTTATTTCCTTCTTATATAGAATAATAAATCGTTTGTTTTCCTAATGAAATATATACTTTCAATTAACTGATTCGTTATATTTAGTGTAAACTTGGTGGTTTTCTGAAAGTTTTTGTTATCATGAATGTTTTTATTTTTGAGAACTGAAACCATTTGTTTTTCGTTTAGCTGATTCAAACACATTTAAAGTTATCATTTTCAAGTTGATATTGTGGAAATTTTCATTAATATATTGAATAGATTAGACTATAAGGTTTTTATTAACATCGTATAGAATAGAATTTGCATTAAAATCACTCAGACAGCAAATCAAGTATGGGAAACGTTGAGTACAATTCAGTTTTGTGAAATTCATCTAGCCAATTTTTTCGTTCTTGCACCATCTCACCACTCTTTCAAGAATCAGTCGACAACTTTTGTGTGTCGGTTTATTGCAATAAGTACATCACTCAATATAGAATTTCACGCTGATGACGAATATTACGTTCACATATTTCGAAAATAAGAAATTTCACACAAATAAACTAAGCTTTCCCGTAGAATTTGCATTCTGAAAGATATTTAATTATCAAAACATTCAAAATGTCGACCGTAAAACTCAATTTCAGTCTTGTTGAGAGGGTGTGAGTGCCATGTTCTCTCTACGTACACGCACACTCGTCAGCTTATCGGCCAAGATTACTAAAACAGGAATCATGTCTTAAATAAAAAAAAGATAGAATGAGCAAACGATATTTTATGAAGGACACATTAAAGTAATCGAACAGAATTATTCGAAACTTACTTGTTTTCCATATTCTCTTTGTCTCCATCCTTAGTTGTTAGTCATAAGGTTTCAAGTGTTTGAACTGTAAGAATTATATCTTATCCAAAAATGAATATGAATGCGTTCTCACCAATGTTAATAGTCGTACGCTCTTGTAGACCGTATTAGACTGATGAATATCGACAATGCATCTCTTCCAGAGCTCTAGTGTCAACATATAATTTCATATCAAAGAAATTTCAAGTGTATTTCTCTTTCTCAAGGACAATCGTGCACCATTTCTATTGCTTTCGTTGTCTTTTTAGATAAGGTTTGTTAAGAAATGAATATCGTTATGAGAAGTGCTTTATTGACAGACATTTTTTCTCTGATAAGTATAAAAAGACTTCTAAATAAATCCTTTTTTTTAAAGGTATGTATAGCTAGACAAAATTCACCATTTTTGATATTCCACCTACATGTATGACTCTAGAATTGTGAATAATAATAAGCATAAATGTCGATTTAGGCAACCATAGATAGTGACATTTCGTTGAAAAAAAGGTCGTTTAAGTATTTAGAATTGACGATAGATTACATCATATGCGGGAAGATTTGTAATAGAAAAATTTTAAGAAGATACAAGTATTGTTCATAAGAAAATCAAG